ACAAGAAGGATGTGGAAAAATTGGAAAGAGTCCAGCGGAGGGCAACAAAAATGATTAGGGGTCTGGAGCACATGACTTATGAGGAGAGGCTGAGGGAACTGGGATTGTTTAGTCTCCAGAAGAGAAGAATGAGGGGGGATTTGATAGTTGCTTTCAACTACCTGAGGGGGGGTTCCAAAGAGGATGGAGCTCGGCTGTTCTCAGTGGTGGCAGATGACAGAACAAGGAGCAATGGTCTCAAGTTGCAGTGGGGGAAGTCTAGGTTAGATATTAGGAAAAACGTTTTCACTAGGAAGGTGGTGAAGCACTGGAATGCGTTACCTAGGGAGGTGGTGGAGTCTCCTTCTTTGGAGGTTTTTAAGGCCCGGCTTGACAAAGCCCTGGCTGGGATGATTTAGTTGGGAATTGGTCCTGCTTTAAGCAGGGGGTTGGACTAGATGACCTCCTGAGGTCCCTTCCAACCCTGATATTCTATGATTCTATGATTCCAGGAGCAATGACAGTGGTAACCAGTGATCAGACAGCCATCTTAAAGCAAAGTATTATTTATTGAAACAAAAAGCATTTAAGAGAAAATAGATTTTAAAATAATACTAAAGTAGTCTGTAGCAGGCCTGCCTTTCTCTAAGAGTTGCCAACTCCCTCAGACTCCCTCCACAAAGGCTCTATCTGAGTTAGGGTTGCCAACTTTCTAATCCCACAAAACCAAACACCATAGCCCCGCTCCTACCCTGAGGCCATGCCCCCCGCCCTGCCCCTTCCCCGAGACCCTACTCCCCTGCTCACTACATTTCCCTTTCCTCGGTGGCTCGCTCTCCTCCACCCTCACTCACTTTCACTGGGCTGGGGCAGGGGGTTGTGGTGCGGGAGGGGGTTCTAACTGGAGGTGCGAGCTGTGGGGTGGGGCCAGAAATGAGGGGTTTAGAATGCGGGAGGAGGCTCCAGGCTGGGGCATGGGGTTGGGGTCCAGGAGGGGGTGAGGACTCCGGCTGGGGGTGCGGGCTCTACGGTGGGGCTGGGGATGAGGGCTGTGGGTTGAGGCAGGGGGTTGGGGTGTAGGGGGGATGAGGGCTCCATCTGGAGGTGCAGGGTCTGGGGTTGATTTGGGGTGCAGGAAGGGGCTCTGGGTTTGGGGGGGGATCAGGGCTGGGGCAGGGGGTTGGGGCTCAGGGTTTGGGCACAAGCTTACCTCTGGCGGCTCCCGGTCAGTAGCGCAGCAGGGGGGCTAAGGCAGCTTCCTGCCTGTCCTGGCACCGCGGACCAGGCTGCGGCCCGGAAGTGGCCAGCAGCTGGTCCAGCTCCTAGGCGGAGGCATGGCAGGCAGCTCTGCGTGAATCGCTACTCTCACCCACAGGCACCGCCCCCACAGCTCCCATTGGCCGCGGTTCCCGGCCTAGGAACCGGACCTGCTGGCCACTTCCAGGGTGCAGCACGGAGCCAGGACAGGTAGGGACTAGCCTGCTCTAGCTCTGCAGCACCGCCAACCGGACTTTTAACAGCCCGGTCAGCGGTGCTGACCGGAGCCGCCAGGGTCCCTTTTTGACCGGGTGTTCCAGTTGAAAACCAGACACCTGGTCACTTTAACCTGAGTCAGTTGAGAAGCTTTTAACAACTGACCCCCTTTCTTCTCCTGAGAATGTTTTTTTTAACTCTTCAGTGTCCTTTTTGATTTCATAGTTTAATAGAGTTTAAGGCCACCACTAGATCACCTAGTATGACTTGTTTTATATCATTCCATTTCACCCAGATACCCTATATTGAGTTCAGAATTTAGTTAGACTAAACTGTTGTGTGCCAGATACAGAGAACAGGAGTGACCGATATGTCACCAATGCCCAATACCCCTGCAATGGCAGGGAATTGATTAGGTGAGATATGTCTAGATTATCCCAGCAGGTGAACTATGCCCCATGCTGCAGAGGAAGGCAAAATGTCCCAAGGTCCCTGCCAATCTGACCTGTGGGAAAATTTCTTTCTGACCCAAATCTGATGATGAGTTTGAGCCTGAGCATGTGAGCAAGTCATGTGAGCCAGGCATCTAGGAAGGAGGATTCTCACCTCAGAGCACTCATCTGCCCTGTCTGGTTTCCTGTCTCCAGCTGTGGCCAATCTCTGGTGCTTCAGAGGAAGGTGGAAAACAAAACCCAAACAAACCCAGAACACATCTGGCCAATTGTGCACTGGGGGAAAAAATTCCTTCCTGACCCTTGAAGCCTTGAAACATGAGATTTGGTTATAGGCATTGTCTTAGTGCAAAGCTGAAAGTGTTCTGAGCATGTCAAGGGCTATATTGGCATTCCTGTTCTCCCCATGCTCCATGAAGGAAGGGGGAATTCATAGAACCACAGCTTCCAAGGCCACAAAGGACCACCATGATCCCCCAGCCTGATCTCCCCCACTGCCTCCCACTGACAGAGGCTGCAGAACTTCGCCCAGAAGCCAGATGAAAGTATGTGTTATGAAATATGTCATGTCTTAAAGACTCCAAGTGATGGTGAGTCAAGTCCCTCCCCTGGTAAGCTGTTGCAATATTTAATTACCCTCACCATTGGGAAATCGTGTGTTATTTCAAGGTTGAATTTGTCTAACTTTAACTTCCAGCCGTAATCTTGTTAGGCTCTTCTCAGCAAAGTTGAAAATCCCCCACGCTCAGATCATTTTCCATGTGCGAATACCTGTGCATACAGTGATCAAGACACGTTTCTACTTCCTCTTCAATAAGTTCAGCTCCTTAAGCCTCACATCAGAAGCCTTATTTTCTAGGCCCTGGACCATTCTTGTGGCCCTTCTTTGCGGCACGCGAGCTGATTTTCAGTGGCACTCACACTGCCCGGGTCCTGGCCACTAGTCCGGGGGGCTCTGCATTTTAACTTAATTTTAAATGAAGCGTCTTAAACGTTTTAAAAACCTTATTTACTTTACATACAACAATAGCTTAGTTATATATTATAGACTTATAGAAAGAGACCTTCTAAAACCATTAAAATGTATCACTGGCACGCGAAACCTTAAATTAGAGTGAATAAATGAAGACTCGGCACACCACTTCTGAAAGGTTGCCGATCCCTAGTATTTCCATAAACTTAATAATAATAATAAAACCACCTAGCTCTTATATAGCACGTTTTCCATCACTAAATCTCCAGGCACTTCACAAAGGAGGGCACTATCTTTATCCCCATTTTGCAGATGGGGAAACTGAGTGAGGTGAAGTGACTTGCATAAGGTCACCCCACAGGCCAGTGACAGATCTGGAAATAGAACCAAGATCTCCTCAGTCCCAGTCCAGTGCTACACTGCCTCCCTCTAAAGGGGAGTAGGGTGCACCATTCCCGGAAGCACGGCCATACCAGGCTGATGTGTGGAGTGGAGAGAGCAAGCTCCTAGCCCATATTCTTGAAGTGTAGATCCCGGAACGGGATACAATGTTCCAGTAGCAGTCTCACCAATGCTGTGTACGAGTCAAGATCCCTTCCCTACTTCTATTTGATATTCCCCTTTTTGCCACACTATTGCTCTGAGAGCTCATGCTCAGGTGATTGTGAACAATGATCCTTAAGTCCTTCTCTGAGTCCCTGCTTTCCAAGACAGGCTACCAGCTTTAGAAAAACAAGGCTTACAACTTGTTGAAGATGGGATACAGGATCCTTGAAGCTAACACCACCGGTTTCCCCTGTTATCTTTCAAGTGTGTGCTTGGATGCTCTTAAATCTGAGAAGCTATTGTACTGCAACCCTGCACAGACCCCAGTGAATGTGAGAATATAATAAACATTCCACTACCCCCAATATAAATGTATGTTAATAATTAGTTTACATATAAATATTCTTACATTATTACAAAGCATTTCCATGTCTGTCACACCTGCATTTTGCACTCTCTTTGCAAGGAAATCGATGCCCTGTCATTAGTTTTTCCAGAGGATTTGGTAAAACAGTCTCTGGCTCCTTGCAACCCCATTGCCGACCCTAAACATTCAAAAATTATAAGACAGGCAACCCAAAATAATGAGATTGTCTTAAAAACCACAGCTTTTTCTTTTAATTTTCCTCCTGCTTAGGGTGACCAGATGAGATGAAGAAAATATTGGGACCGGGGGGGTGGGAGGGGGCCAAAAATAAAAATAAAAGCCGAGTGCTGCCGGCCGGCCGAGAGGGGAAAAAAAAAAAGCCGAGTGATCCTGGCGGCGCAAAATATTGGGACAAAAATTGCATCCCGACCAGAGATCGGTTGGGACGCAGGACAAACAGCTCAAAATCGGGACGGTCCTGATTTTATCGGGACATCTGGTCACCCTACTTCTGCTTTTTAATACTATAGGACTGTTGTTTTCAAGCTTTCCTTTGCAGCCACAAGGGCTTCAAACTTTTTTTTTTTAACTGTGAAAGCTGAAGTTCTCATATAGTAACATGATCCAGGTGCTGGGGCTTGTAGAAAAAATGCTAAATATTGTGAGACTCACAATAAAGTCATGTGAGCTGGCAACTCTGCCACTGCCTTTGATTCCTAGGACCTTCCGATAAAAAATATTAGGTAGAGAGAACTCATATCAAATACACATGTGCACACACAGTTCAACCCTCTCCACAGACACATCAGCCCCCGCCCCTTTCCCCCCCCCCCCCCCCCAATGTGCACACACTCTCACCAACCCCAGCCAGGCATATATACCAGCCAGCACACCCCCACAACACTCCGTGCACATTTCACTTTTCCAGTCAAAAGCTCTCCCAAATCAAATGGCCCTAAAGGATTATATTTGTAACTCCACTGTTCCAGCCTTTTACAAACCATCCCACACATCTGTTATGTCAGAAGGCTTCGACCTAATACTTTGTGAGCCGGACATATGGGAACATAGTTATATCATATCTATTTGTTTCTCTTAACTGCTGTCACTCCTCTCTTCTTCCCCCTCCCCTTCCCAAAACTATATAATCTAAGAGTCCACTAGGAAATTAATCTCTGTTTTAACCTGTCATCTTTATTTCCATTAACAGATGCTTACCCCAATTCTGAAGTGATCTACGTCTGGACTAATAGCACCGCTACATCTGTGGTGGTTGCAGAAGATGGTTCACGACTTAACCAGTATCATCTGATGGGACAGACTGTAGGAACTGAAAACATCAGTACCAGTACAGGTGTGGTAGAATGCATCTTTCCACCACACAGTTGCTAACAGGAAAAGGAGGTGTAGTGAGGAGATGTATACAGGCTCCTGGCTCTTTGGTGGGGGCACTAGGGAAATGCATATCAAGTCTTGGCAACTGTACAGTAACACCTCAGAGTTACGAACACCAGAGCAACAAACTAACCAGTCAACCACACACCTCATTTGGAACCGGAAGTACACCATCAGGCAGTAGTAGAGGCCAAAAACTAAAAAAGGAAATGCAGTACAGTACTGTGTTAAACATAAACTACTAAAAATATAAAGGAAAGCAACCTTTTTCTTCTGCAGATTAAAGTTTCAAAGCTGTATTAGGTCAATGTTCAGCTGCAAACTTTTGTAAACTTTTGAAAGAACTATAAGGTTTTGTTCAGTTAGAAACAGCACATATTTCAGAGCGATGAATTCCCAGAGTGTTCCTCACTCTGAGGTCCTGCTGTATTTGCTGAAATCGCAGCACTATTGCTGGCTTATTTCCCTGCTGGAGGAACAGCTCCAGGAGGCAAACACTAGCCACCCATTAGATCTGTACCAATCCTAGGTTTATAGTGATTTGCTTGATGAAACCGTTTGGGGGAGGGGGGAAGAGGGAAGGTGGCAGCTGTTGCCGGCCTTTGCAGCGTGTCCTGGGTACCACGTGGCCAGAGAGGAGGTGCTAACCCCAAGGATTCCCATTTCCTCCGTAACTGGAAGTGGAGGCGCCAGATGTGGCAGCATTAGAGAGGCAAAGAAGCTTTAATCCCAGCCCAGCCACCCACGTGAGGCCCCCCTTCCCCCCCTCGCCTCCTGCTTAAGGCTTCCATGTCAGGGCAGCCCTGTGCTCTGATGGGGGTGGGGGATACCTGGGAGGGTGACGCCAGACCAGCCCCGACAGTTACATGGGTTCCGCAGCACAGAGGCTTTAACAGGTTATATAATATACTTGTCTTGAGAGAATTAATGAAGTAGAGTCTAAGGGCTCCTATGATTGGAACCAAAAATATCCTGTCTTTAAACAAAGCCGTCCCCTCCCCCCATGGCTTCATTCACAGGGGGCTTTTAGAATGCAGATTTGAATAATGCTCTGGCAGAAATTAACACTAGTAAAGCACTGAGACATATTTATTGTGAGGACCTGGCACCCCCTATCACTGGCTAAAAATGACAGGCTCTGAGGTCTAATTTGAGACCCTGAGGAGGAGGTGTAAACCAGATTGGTAACCTGGGCTATCCTTGGAAGGGATATTTAGGACACTTTATCATGTGCACAACCCGCTCCCCCGCACACACACACAATCACAAAGGTTGGTAGGATTAAGGAATGAAGGTGCTTAAAGCTCTCTATTCAAAATTAAACAAACAAACAAACAGCTCTGTGGAAGGTGGGACCCACTCTGAGCCCAGCTGGGCTTGCTGTTTACTCCTCAAACAATCCCAAAGCAAGGACAACCTTGCTCTGCATAGTACAAGGCAACCACAAAGCAAAGTTATGATCCACTTCCCTGCAAGTTCTAATCATTCCCAACCCCTTCAATATCCATTAAACAGTTGCTAAATAAGCCAAAAGAATCAGCATCCAGGATATGCATGTAGAAATAATCACAGTCGTTACCCTAATAGCAAAGAGCCCCCTGGGGAAAGCAAGCTGCCTCCCATTAAAGAACAAAAACATGTTTCCTTACCAGTTCACCATCATAGCTGCATTGTTTTCTGCAATGAATGGCAGCTCCCCTCTTGCTTTCAAAACTGCCAAGAAAAAGATCCAGAGGATGTATGGGAGCATCTCCTAGAAACTCGCCCTGATCCTGGGAGAAAGAAAACAATCCAAAGCAGGCAGTGGGTGCTCCAGGGTGTCCGTTCTGGGCCACTTTCACGTCTCCGCTTTCCCGTGGAAGGCACCTTGCACTCCTCAACCTAAGGAAACAGCAGAATCCTAGGAGGGATCAAAAAGTTCGTGCACAGAAATCACGTCCCTTCCCTAAGATTGAGGCTAATAAATTACGGTTTTCCAACGTCAAGAATTTTTTTAATGTCCCAGGTTGCATCTGGGCAGGCTGGATTCTGATTGCAGGGTGGATCACAAAGAGCAGGACACAGATTGTAACTAGGGATTAGCAAAATACAAAAATCCGATTTTACACAGGGAAAGCATCAGTCAGTGATGGATTTTCTGGACTTCATCAAGCTCGCAGTAGGCTGGTAATCAGGGTTACTTGTGATCGGATGTTTAAGACATTTCTCCTTTGTACAGAATTGTTGAATGGGGGGGGGGGGGGGGGGGAAGGGGGAGGAAGAATACTGCACTAATCCAACAGTTTGGATCCTTTGGATATATTTTGGACCACATGTCAAACTACACAACCCCTCCAATTGCACGGGGGGAAATGTTTGGGTATATAAAAATTTTATACACCTTTTATGCTGATGCTTCAAGCAGATGCTTTTTAGAAAGAGGTAAAATCTGGATCTCCACCAGGCTTACTGGATCCTACTGATTTTTGCACCCAGCTCCCCAAGTTCTGCCTGAAGAAAAAAAACACTTGGCTAGTTAGAGTGCACACAAAAAATCTTGGAATCTGGCACATTTTAGCACTGGCATGCTGCAAAAACCCTGATCCTGCTAATCTTGGCACTCAAGCCCCCAAATTCTACTGGCTACGTAGAGAATACGGCTGCCACGAAAAAATTCCCCATGTAACAGTATTGCAAAAAACCAGTACAGAGCCCCAATACTTCCACTTCCTACATAAAGAACACATCCAGCCACTTGTATGTATCAAAATATTCCTGCACTGCCTACACAGAGAAGATATTCAGAACAAATAAAGAGAGAACAAGTCCAGACACTTCTGTTGCACCAAAGATCTTGGATTTTTGCACATTGCAGCGCCACAGCACTACAAAAACCCAGACCCAAAACATAGATCCTGCTGGATCGTGCCAATTTTTGCACTCAAGCCCCAAATTCCAATATCTAAATACAGAACACAGCCAGCTGCTCCACCTATACCAAAAAATTACAGACCCTGGTGTATCCTGAGGCAAGTGTGGTCTGGTGCAACAATGACACAATAACACAGATCTGACATACCTGAATTCTGCCAGAACCTGCCTTTTTTTTTTTTTCACCGCAGGCCTCAGCCTACAAGTGTAGCCACCATTCCACCACTGGTAAAACAGACCTTGATGTATCCAGCCTAACAGCATATGAAAAACACATATCTGGTGTCTGGATTCTACTGGAGCCTGCTATTTTTTAGCCATATTCTTTCTCCAAAATTCTATTGTCTAAATAAATTTTTTTTTAAATGTAGCAACTTCTAATCCATCAAAAAATCTAAGCCAATGTTTCCTAAAGGATGGGCTGTGTCGTGGAAAGGAGGTAAATGGGTCATGGGATCGGTGTGGAGGAGAGGCCTGGGGGGATTGGAGAGTTAGCCTGCCCAGCACTTATGCTGCACAAGTGGCTTCTGTCCCACGGGACTGGGCCCAGCAACCCCTCTTTGGGTGTTGTGACCTGGTACATGGGGTCACAGTGCCACTCAAGTTTGGCCAGGTTGCTCCTCTGTCATGACAGAAGAGCAGTCAGGCCATACCTGAACGGTGCTGCAAGGGATGGCATAGGTCAAACCCGAGTGGCACTGACACCAAATGGGCAGGTTGCAATGCCACTCACTCAAATATGTCCCGGCCGCCCTTCCATCATGACAGAGAGATGCTGTGAACTCGTGTGCCAGGTTGCAACTCCCAGAGCAGGGAGTTAGGCCCAGCCCTGCAAGAAAGGAGTCATCACTGTGGGGTGAGTGCAGGGAAAACTCTTCAAATACCAGCCCTCGACACCTTGGGGCATTCCCTCTGCACCTCTCCGGGAGTAGGGTTGTGGTGCCGGGGTAGAGAATGCTGCTGAGGATGGTCAGTAGCCCTTCGGCAGGGTGAGGAGGTGGCAGTGGAGGAGGACACTGGCCTATTATTTCTCCCCCCCATCCCGAAATTTGGATCCTGGATGGGTCATAAAAAAAAAGACAAAATGCAGTTGTTTGGATGCCTTACTAAAACGTTTGGGAACCATTGATGTAGACCCTCTGCAACTTGGCACAGTTGCAGCACAAAATCACATAGCCAGCACTCGGATCCAGCTATATCAGCTCAGCTTTCATTCTAAGGCCAAAAATTCTACCACCTAAGTACAGAAGAAATGCAGCAGCTCCATTTCTTCTTTATTATTAATTCTTTCTTTTGATTGTTGATGTTGAGAATGGCATCCCACTGTGATAGGTTCTGTACAAACATGTAACAAAAATTAGTTCCTGTCCCAAAGAGCTTAAGTCTAAGAGGGAAATCCTGGCCCTACTGAAGTCACTGGGAGTTTTGCCATTGACTTCAGTGTGGCCAGAATTTCACTCTAAGTATAATGCTAGAGGCAACAGGTGGATACAATAAATGGCTAAGATGAGCACAAGGTAATGAGACAATACCAGTCAGCATAATAAGTAGTGGTCACAGAGCACCAGCTTCCCCCCGCCCCAAGTTGAGTTTTTTGCAGGCATTGTGGCTGGAGAGAAAATGCAGATTTCATCGGGAGCTTCCTCCATGTGTAAGAGCAGTGTGAAAGAGTGTACTCTCTCTTTAAGAGACAGGCTGGAGCCAGCAGCTGCCCCCCACCCCGCCCCAATCCCCTCAAACTGGTAATGTGAACCTACTGCCACCCCAATCTGGGGAAATGAAGGTGGGGCATACTTGCAGTGCCACACTGGACCACAAGGGGGAATGTGGGGATAACCCACACCTTTACAGGCAGCATGGGGGAAAGTGCAGAGGTACTTACTGGAAAACTGAACAATGGGCAAAGCTGGCATCTTTGGTGGAGTGGACATGGGGGGGCCAAAGTCTCAATACTATGTAAGAAATGACAGGTAGGATGTAAATCAGCCACGACTGGCCTTACAAATGAAAACAAGTACTTTGGGTTTTGTAATTTGTAATTTTTTTTAA